CCTGTTTCTTCACAACAGTTTGCAAAGTGGATTGCTCAAACTAATCTCTTAGCCTATGAACTGGCTAAACATCCTCCTTCAGTTGGTGTGCGCCCACACCGGCTGCCTTCCTTCAAGGTATTCCTCTGCCTGATATCTGCAAGGCGGCTACATGGTCTCAACCTTCCGTGTTTGTTAGATATTACGGACTTGATTCCAGGTTCCGTTGGGATGCTAGTTTTGACTGTGCTGTTCTCGCCTCTATTCTACAGTGACTTTCCCACCTGCCACAGGTAAGCTTTTCAGTCACCCTATTGCAGGGGTAGGCAACCTTTCCCCTTTAAGGGCTGAGGGACTTCAGCTCCCAGAATCCCAGGAGCTATTGGCCAACATGGGACTATTGGCCAACATGGCTGAGGCTTCTGGGAGCTGAAGTCCCTCGGCCCTTAGAGGGGAAAGGTTGCCTACCTCTGCCCTATTGTGTGAGACACAGAGACCATGAAGAAGAAGAACAGATTGCTTACCTATAACTATGGTTCTTTGAGTGGTCATCTGTGCCTTTACACAAACCCGCCCTACCTCCCCTCAGTCAGGTCCCTGTAGTTCTTTGCAGCAGACTTGAACTGAAGGAGGAGCTAGATTGGTGGGATTGGGCATACTTAGTACACAGGAGTGGGTGGGGCTTCCCTCCAATCTGTTCAGCTTTCCTAATGGACTCTCTGCACAGGCGCAAAATCTATTGTGTATTGTGATGACCACTTGAAGAAACACAGTTACAGGTAAGCAACCTGTTCATATCACAGCCTGCTAGTGAAGAGGAAGGAATGTTTGCTAGACTCTAAGGAACACTAGCAAGTTTTGCAAGATGCAAAAACTTGGTACCTTCCTCCTCAACATATTGTCTTGTGCTTGCAAATGTGCACACTCTTGATATAATTAGCAGCTATTGTACTTTGAAAGTGAGAGATCTGTCTAGCCAGTTTCCAATGAGTTTTTTTTAATGGGCATTTATTTAGTGTTTCAACACTGCATGTTGTTGGCTTACCTAGTATTGGTAGCAGAAAGCAATGCAACATAAAATTAAGTTATGTTAAGCCTACTTTATTGGGTTTACTCTCTTATTCCACACCTGCAGAAATCCCAGCTGTGCATATATTAAAAACATCTTTCCCCCATCCTACCACTTTCCCCCCTAGTCAGTTAGATGATGTTTCTTTCACTGACACAGGCAGTCTTTTACCCCTCATCCAACCCCATACCTCAGTGTTCTTCCTCTCCCTTTGAGCCACATGCTCCTTTTCTCCATTTACCTACTCCAGCTGCTCTTTATCTCCTTTCTTCCATGCCATTGCTCTTTCTTTGTCTTTGTTCACTCATCCAGGTGATATTGCTATGTCCCTAGCCCATTGGTTATATCATTTCCTTTGCTTTTTTGCTTTTCTTTTTCCCATTTACTTCCCCACACCTTACTGGTCTTTTCATTCTCCTTAGTCTGTTCCTGATCTAGCCTTTCTTTTTGTTCAGTCTCCACCATCACTATGCATCACCCTTCTCTCTCTCTGTCTCATTCTCTTTCTTCTTTTGAATGTTCATTGGCTATACAAAGGAGGGCAGCAGTTATGGCCAGTATGCTGTTTTCCCTACAGTGCCTCTGATGCACATGGAACTCCCTAAAGGCCATCTGGGGAAATCACAATGCCAGGTGTGATGGCTTATTCTCTGATAGTTAGGGAAGTCTGCCATCTCATGACTAAAGATGGTACTGCAGGCTACAAACATTTAAATTAAAATTTAGTCCATTAAAAAAACAACATCCAGGTGCAAATCCTTAGGGGCTCTTTACTGTACATGCCAAATTCATGTCTCTAGGTTTTTCTGTCTTGAAGCTATGGTAGAGCCAAAAATACATGGACACGTGTATGTGTGCATGCCTTCAACTCGCCTGTCGACTTCTGGTGACTCCATGAATTTCATGGAGTTTTCTTAGACAAGAAATCATCAGAGGTGGTTTTGCCAGTTTCTTCCTCTGAAATATAGCATACAGTACCTAGTATTCATTAGTGGTCTGTCATCCAAGTATTAACCAGCGTTGACCCTGCTTAGCTTCCAAGATAATGTTCCCTTGTTAGTATAGATCAGGGGAGCAATTTCAGAGGCTCTAGGAGCCACATTACCCTCTGCCACACTCGAGGCTACCCCATGTCCTCCAGATGAAATTAAAATTGGTAGGAATTCATTTCAAGTTTTTGTATTTAAAAAGGTATGGTGGCAGACTGTGTTTCCATGAGTGCCATTATCAGTTTTTTTGTGTTTAAATTCTTTTGGGTGGGGGAGGGTGGCTCTGGAGGCTGCAAGAACAAGTTGGAGAGTCCACATAGTGCTCAGCCCTGTGTAATTTATTGCCCATTACCAGAAAGGGTACAGTGGGAATGTATTCTTTGAAGAAAAGCACAACAGGGCAACAACCTATATTAGCAATTTGCTCACCAGTGAATATTATTGATCAGTGTATAACACGCAAAGTATTTTTGTTGATGCATTTGTCAATACATTCCTACCATACTGCTGTTGATACTGTTTGTTCAGACTCATGCTGAGCTGAATTTCCCTCTTGAATGGTCTTAATATAGAAATATACATCTGAATCTGAACTCATTCAGGAAGACTGAACAGGGGTTGGAGCTGATGGCCCATAGGTACCCTTCCAACTCTATGATTCCATGATTCTATGAGACACATAATATTTCCTTAGACTCTGTTTATTAATATTGTTGTTGTTGTGTGTGTGTGTATTGCTGAGCATTATAGTACATAGTATATTATAGTGTGTGTGTATCGTATATAGACACACACACACACACACACACTATAGTATACTCCCCCCCCCCCCCCTGTATCATATAAGAGCAAGTGTGGTGTAGTGGTTTGAGCATTGGATTCTGACTCTGACTCTGGAGATCAGGGTTTGATTCCCCGCTTGACCATGAAAACACACTGGGTGACCTTGAGTGAGTCACACACTCTTAGCCCCAGAAAACCTCATGATAAGTCAGAAATGACTTGAAGGCACACAACCACAGATATCTTGTATAAATCAGGGGTAGGCAACCTTTCCCCTTTAAGGGTCAAGGGACTTCAGCTCCCAGAAGCCTCAGCCATCTTGGCCAATTGTCCCATGTTGGCCAATAGGTCCTAGGATTCTGGGAGCTGAAGTCCCTTGGCCCTTAAAGGGGAAAGGTTGCCTACCCCTGGTATAAATAGTGTATAATGTAGGATATTCTATATAGTAAGTGCTATAGACTTTATTTCAGAAGAAGGAACTGGCAAATCCACCCCTGAGTATTCCCTGCCTAGGAAAACCTGTGAAATTCATAGGTTGACAATATACTTGGAGGCACATACATACAATATATATAGCAGTGATGGTGAATCATTTAGAGACCAAGTGCCCAAAATTAAAGGTGTTCTGACACCAAGTGCTACTCAGTGCTGGGGGTGAGACTTCTGGGGGTGGGAATTCTGGGATGGCAGGGAAGAGGAGGAACAGGCACATGCCTGTTCCTTCTCTTCCCCTGCTCTCCCGTCTCTCCGTGTGCCCTCCAAAATGGCTTCACATGCCAGAGATGGCATGTGTGCCATATGTTCACCAAGACAGATATATAGTATATACTGTTGTATATGCTCATTGGTTCTTCTTCTCTGTCTCTGTCCCATCTCCCTTACTGGGTAGCCTTGAATAAATCCATACAATGCTGTTACCACTACTGAATTTAAACAGCATTCTTCATTATAGCGTCATCTCATAAGTAATGGCTGAACTACTGAGTTAAGTCTTATGGACCAGATAATTTCTGTTTGGAGCCTTTGTTTTGTCATTTCACTGTTAACAATGAGTTTTTTGTGTCCTTCACCAAAGATGGGCTTTTGGGTGCTAACCTGCAGAAGACGTCCAGGTCTACCACCTTGTGTAGCCTTTTGCAGTGCTGCATGGTGAATGTTTAAAACATGAATAAGGGCCTGAACAGAATGCCAGAAATAATCCAGCTTGAGACCACTTTAATTGCCCTGTCTCAATGCTAGGAAATCATGGGAATTTTATTTTTTCTGAGACATTGAGCCTTCTCTGTCAGAGAGCTCTGGTGCCACAATAAACTACAGTTCCCATGGTTTCCTAGCACTGAGCCAGGGCAGTTCAAGTGGTCTCAAGCTGGATTATTGCTGGCAGTCTGTTCAGGCCCTAAATCAGGATGACAGTTATTTGCCAGTCTCAAAGAGGATAAATTTAGCATTAAAGGTTTATGAGGGGCCAGAGATTCAGACCTTAAGATTCTTGTCTTCTTGTGACTGAAATGTTTTTGCAAGTGGGCTCTTTAATTTTTTAAAAAAAATTATGTGCAAGAGTTTAAAACTCTCTCTTTTTAACAATGGCTGTGTATATGTTCAGATTCTAAAATTCTAAAACAGATTAGCTGATTTGGTTCAATTCCAAATGGATCCAAAGTATCTACCAGGCCAAGAGGATTACAGAAGACTGCCTGAAGCCACTTCAGTACTTCCCACACAACTTCCTGGTAATGGACATTATATTGTCCAGGGGATGGGGTAATCCTAGAAAAGTTCTTTCCTTCCAGTGCGGAATGGACCTGGTTTGATGGGAAAGGGCTAGAATGACAGCTATAGTTTCCAAACCATGCAAGAGTCTCATTAGTTTGACTGAAATTTACAACAATGAGGTTTGCATGTGGTGCCATTGAGGTTCTATATTCCTGTTTCCTACTTTTCCTATTACGTAGCTGGAGGTCTGCTTAGGGCAAGAGGGAAGCTGGGAAGAGAGTGGTGCATATTTCCTTTTTATTGCTTTGTTCTTAGCTTAGAAGATGGAGGCATTTTCTCATTCTTCTGCTCTGGAGCTGCTTGTGTGTGTGAATTGTTGACAGATAGCTTAGGAGAGGGTTTTCTGATTTTTCTTAGATGTAAACTTTGATTTAACGGTACTTAGGGCACACATGCCTGTACATTTCTGAGATACAATACTCTTTTTTCTTCATTATTAGGCTGACATTTACTCTCTCTCTCTCTCTTTCGGTGAAATAACCACTGCCATTTGACTATGAGGTCCTCCCAATGTACATACAGTGTACTGTATGCATGTGTTTTCAGAGCTTTTTTAAAAAACAAAAAACAAAACTCACAACAGTTTGTTTCAGCTGTCCATAGAGTCACAGCAGAGTTGGAAGAGATCACAAGGGTCATCCAGTACAACCTGCTGTCATGCAGGAAGACACATTGAAAGCACTCCTGACAGATGGCCATCCGGCCTCTGCTTAAAAACCCTCCATAGATGGAGACTCCACTACACTCTGAGGCAGCATATTCCAGTGTCAAACAGCTCATACCATCAAGAACTGGTGAGACAGTGCCAGGACTAAAGTTTCATGAATTGGCAAGATTAAGCAATTCACAGGTTTCTAAAATATTTTTCAGTGAAAACAACAGGAATGAAAAGAAATAATAATAATAACTCTGCAACCTGCTTAATGTAGAAAGTCCTGAAACTACCTGGATGTAATTTGGCATAGTTAACCCCCTTTTGAGGGGTTGCATCCAGAATTTAGGAGGGGAGAAGAAAGAGAAAAGAAAAGTTATAGATGCTTAGATCTTCCAGTAGACATAAATAGGAAGACTGGTGATCTGGACTCCAGGTTGAAGCAGGTCTGAACTGATCCAGAGTAGATTGGGGTGTAATCCGATACACCAAATCCCGTTCTGAATCAGATTGAGGGGAGCATGCACTGTTCTAGTTTAATCACACATCAATTTCTAGTAAGTTTCTTCTCTGACCTCCTCAGTATCTCTGACTTTTCATTGTTTCCCACCTTCTACGAACCATTATCCTTTAGATGATCACACCCAATCCTCAAGTGTGTATTTGGTTTTGCATTTTAATAGATGTCTTGAAGGCTGTTCCTGGAATGTCCAAAGGTGTCAATGATCTTTGGACTGAAATGTTTGAGAGACTGTAAATTAGGAGGATTTTAGCTAGAAATTTTTGTATATTATGCTGAAAAACAAACCTGGTGTGTGTGTGTGTGTGCGCACACACACGTATTTGTATGTGGGGAAGAGGGGGTTATAGCTATAGAGCTTGTAAAATGTTCTCTACTAAAGAGTTGATTTAATGTCAGACATGCATATTAAAGATGACCCAGCAAAGCCAAAAGCATGAGACCTTAAAATTATGTCTGCATTCTTACCATTAAGATAAAAAATGGTGCCCTCAGCAGAAGATTACTGTAATTTCAAACGTTAATTGAAATGGACATCCAGGAAGCAGCCCTGGACCTTCCATTGGAATGTCGTTCTCTGCTGTATGTTTAGTTTTTAAAATTTTAGAAATGTGAATTAAACCTTATGAGCTCTGAATTAAACTGCTTGCTTACTTGTCCCCTATTATTTTAGCAATCTGTTTATACTGTTGAGAGTAAAGCTCAGTAGGATTATTTAAATATTTTAAATAGCAGATGTGCTATGCTTTGCCTCTGATTGCAAAAGAGGGAGGAAAAAATAATACTGATGCATTGTGTCCCAGAATGTCTCCCCACATCCTCATGCTCTGATCTGTTGACATTATCCTGTGTTCCTTAGCTTCAGACAGTAAAGTCATGACATGTGCGGCTGTTTGGAGGATGCCGAAGGAATTGGAATCAGGCAGTCATGAATCCCCTGATGATTCATCAAGCAACGCTCAAACCCTGGAGCTACTCTGTCACCTTGACAACACAGCCTATGGCAATATGGCCGGGTAGGATTCTACATATTTTATACTCCCAGGGAGGAGGGGGGGAAATGTGAAGGCTAGACCTGTGCTCTTCGGTGCAGGTTTATACCATATTTGGGCTCTGTACATTTCAAGATACATGGTTTCTGTGTGTGCATGTGTACACATGCTCTGAATTTTTTTTTAAAAAAATATGTTAGACAGCATCAGTAATTAAAACATTAACCATGCAAACACAGACTTGTAACTATACCTGTATTGTTTTGCAGTGCCTTTGTGTATTCTGCCTATCTGTGTTCACTTTGTGTTGCACACAGCTAATATTATTTTTACAAACTGAGTCATGGTAAAGAATTTAGTCTGGAAATCTTGTTTTGTACTTTGGGTGCCTGAATTTTCAACATGCAAATATGGTCTGTTTCTTACTAACGTTTGAGGATGGTGATTTGATTTCATATTATATTTTGTGGGAGGGGGGAGAAGTTGCTTTCTTGTTGAGAACTAATGCTGATACATAGCTGAGCTTTACCAAAGAAGGCATTTCATATTGCCCTTTCATTATTGCTATTGAAGATTTTTTTTTAAAAAAATAATGTACTGTTTGTGTTCTGGTATAGATAAGCAAACATTAAGCAACCCTGTAAACCAGGGTGGGCTAACTTCCATTTTCTCTACTCCACTTATGTTTTAATAAAACAAAGGGTTCTCGTTAGCTGGCAAACTCTTATATACAGAAATGTGTATTTAATGCTTAGAATGCAAAAGTTACTCTGTCCTGTCTCCCAAGACTTTTAAGTAGGCTCAATATGATGTAAATTCTTCTAAAGTTTTTCTTCATTAAAAAGGAATCTTTAGGTCCTCCATGGCAACTCTGTTGGAAATTGACTATAGATTTGCACAGGAGGACCCAGAACTTACTAGAGAAGACACTTCTCTAGTTATTTGTAGGTCCTCCAGAATGATTCTATGGTCAACATCTGGTGGATGTTGACAATAGATTTGCACTGGGGGACCTAGGAACTCCTAGAGAGGTGGTCTCTCAGTTTTAAAAAAATAGGGTTTTTTATTTGCAGATTTTCCAGTTTCATGGGGGTCTTGTGCTCCTAACCTCAACAAATGTGAAGGGCCTACTGTATAAGATTTTGTGCCAGTTCCCCTTGTGTTTATAGAATGTCAGGTGTTTAGAAACATCATATAAATGAAT